TGTGTGTGTGTGTGTGTGTGTGTGTGTGTGTGTGTGAGAGAGAGAGAGAGAGAGAGAGAGAGAGAGAGAGAGAGAGAGAGAGAGAGAGAGACCCCATTCTAATTGACTCCCCCCCACACGGATCAATGTGTGGCATCTGCTCCGATCAGTTTCAAATTGGATCTGTGGTCCAACGAGACCCTTCAAAAAAAAACAAAAAAATGTGCAGGGGCGGACACAAAAGAGAGAGAGAGAGAGAGAGAGAGAGAGAGAGAGAGAGAGAGAGGGAGAGAGAGAGGGAGAGGGGGAGAGGGAGAGAGAGAGAGACCCCAACCGAACTAACCCCCCCCCCCTGTCACGATCAAGTATCTGCTCCGATCAGTTTCAAATCTGATCCGTGGTCCATCGAGATCCTTTAAACCACCAGTACATGGCCCCATGCAACTGGAGAACCTGTTTTGAGCCTCTCCGGAAATTTAGGAAGCGGAGCGCCGTAGAGAAAATGAATCGGTGGCGGTCAGCCTCCGAAAGGGGGTCGCGGAAACACGGACTCCCGGGCACGCTAGAGAGAGACATAGAGAGAGAAAGAGAGGGAGACCGCAATATAATCGGTTGCAAATCTTATTCGTGGTCCATTGAGACCTTTTGAAAAGCAAAAAGTGCACCCCACGCCCGAGAGAGAGAACCCAAGCTAACTAACTATGCCCCCCCCCCCCCCTCCCCCCCCCTCTCTCCCAACTACACCATCAAATGTAGTGTGTTCCGGTCAGTTCCATATCTGATCCGCGGTCCATCGGGACCCCCTTCTTTCAAAATAAAGCAAAAGAAAAGGAAAAATCATGGCTACTTTTTTCCGATTTAAGGAAATAGCGGGTCTTGCGTGATCGTCCCACGCGAGACACGGCTCCCCAAGTTGGAAAAACCAACGACGGGCTCAGGAGTGGGAAAAAAAGTGGATGCGGCGGGTATAAAAAGGGGAGGCGACGCGACATGGAAAGGCTGCGGGGGGACGTGAAAGAGAGAAGCGGTGGCGGGACGGACCCGACTGGAAGACTCGTGGGCGGGCCGATGGGCAGGGCTGACCTGAAGACTGGTGGGCGCGTTCGGGTTGGCCTCCTTTTTTGTCGTTTCTCGGGGGCACGCACACGAGGTCAGAGTGCTCGAAATGAAAAAGTGTGCCAGTTCAAGGGGACCCTCTTGGCGCCGTCGGAGGTATCCGGTGCTGATATTGGGTCAGTGCGCGTTTTCCTCTTGCGTCCCCGCCCACGAGTTCGAGCTGCTTCGGGGCAGACGCAAGCCCAATGGGCGTTTTTTGTCGCTGGCGTCGTGGCGTTTTTGTGGGGGATGGG